AAAACATTAGCACAGCTAAGTTTTTAGATAAAAGTAACTATGCCTAGAAGTTCTGACCATTTCTTCCCATTGCTCTGTGGATCCCCACATGTGGTCCATCCACACTGGAGGTTGTGCCTCAGACCCAAGGGGCCATTGGAGACCACAGTCCTCAGCCATGGTTCTCAAGGCTCTTCCTAGCTGAGCCCACCACACAAGCCCTACTTGGGGGCTTGCACCCACAATGCAGTGCACCTCATCTCATAGATGGCCTCCCTACTGCGGTTGAAAGCCCTGCCAAGGGTGGGCAGGACCTGTGGGAGGAGGGAGGTTCTTGCTCCCTGGCTGCTGGCTGGTTCATAGCTGCGTGTCTGAGGTGGAGACAGAAGAGAGTGGAGGAAGGAAGCCTCTTGTTATGTCCCTTACGATGGGGATGGCTCTGTTTCAATGAGAGGAAGAATGGGTGGGTTGTCTTTTTTCTCCATTTCCAGGGGCCAGGTGTCCAGAATAAAATTTCTCATTTTGAGACAATAGCCATAAAAAAATGAAACTCCCTAACAACATCACCAGAGCACCTGTTGGCAGGTAGAGACACAGAACCAGCCGGTGTGTACGACCGCAAGCTCACGAGGGAAGAGCCCAAAGGGAATCCATTCAAGAGGCCATGAGGTTATTTACAGAACCTGGCCCGCTCACAAGACTCAGCCCACTGTATCGGTGTTATAGGAGGCCCTGTACCCCTCCAGTGGAGACAGACACACAGGTGAGCTGGCGGACCTCTGCTCAGGGTGTGCCGGGAAGGTCCGCTTCCCCCACCTGCCGCCCCCAGCACTGGGGCTGTGAAGGCCCCTCCGCCGGCGCTGGCGGGACTGCTCGGCGTGCGACGTGTTTCGTGAGGAGCTTCCCCAGACGAGCTCTGGGCGGCCTGTGGGAGGCAGGCAAGCGGCCAGGAGAATCCCAGAGAGTGCCGCGTGCCGCAGCTGCCAGGCCTCAGGCCCCCGGAGATGCAATCAGTGCCTCACTGGGGTCCGCGGAAAACAAGCCCGCTGCTGTCAGCGCCGTCCCAGCGACTGACCAGCGGCTGCCCGCCCCACAGCGGGCCGTTCTGAGTGATTACCGACCCCTCCCTGCTTGGAAGAAGGAAATGGGAAAAACCTTTAGCGTCACATAAAAGCCAGCCCAAGACATGAGAAATGTCTTTCAAACTGCGTCTTGCTGAAGCGGGATTTCCATGGCAACGTCAGAAGACTGTGTGCACCACTGGAGATACGTCCAGGCTGACGGAAGCCGCCTGGAATGTGACGAGCCCTGCTCCAGGCGGTGGCCCGCAGGCGTTTTCCCAGAACCCGTGCTGCTGCTACGTGACCTTGGGCAAGTCGTTTACTCTCTCTGCTGAGATGGCAGGGTCGTTAGCAGATCAGGCTGAGAGGGATCAAGGTCATCTTGCCCACACCACCCTCCCAGCCTGGTCTGCTGCGTCAGTCCCCCAAAGCAGCCCCTCTTCCAGTCTTGGGTTGATAAATTCCTGCCTCAAGGGCTCTGCCAATCTTGCTTAATGGCAATTTAAGCTTGATTCTGAAAGAAATTGCTTGGTCTTTTTAAAGACGAGTGTGTTGCCTGATTAAGAAAAAAGCATACTTATACATACACGTGTTCACATTTCTATAGGTCAGGTTCCTGGGAAAGAGTCTCTGAGACGCTGAGATTGGGGTGCAAGACGTTTGCTGGGGCTTCGCTGAGGGATCCCACCAGTGGGGGTGAGGGAACTAGGACCGGGTGGAGGGAGAAGAAGAAGGGCTGTGAACACACAACAGGGGCCTCCGGCGACCCCCTCTGGGAGCCTGGAGCTGGGTGGCCCTGCTGGGGGTGAAGGGGCTGAGGCTTTGAAGCCCTGTACTGACAAGTCACCAGATGCTTGCTGCCCTGGGCAGAGGCCTTGCCCTTGGCTGAGGCCACTCCGTTCAGGACAGGACAGTCACGTTCAGGACAGTTCCAGGAGAGTGCTGGGCCACAGCCAACAGCCCCGGCGGAGGGCATGAGAGTCCGGGCCTGGAGGAGGCAAGTGGGTGGTGCACCACGGTAGCCACCATACTCGGACCCGTTTGAATTGAACATGAAGTCAGCCCTGAAGCCAGTTCAAGGAAACGGGTGAGCGTACAGAAGACATCGAGGCAGACAAAACGGCAAGACTGGGATTTAAGTGCAGTGTCTGTGGCCGGGAGACTCTCGGAGGGGGAGTCACCAGGAAAGTCTAGGCCCGGCTTCCCTGTAAGTGCAGGATTCTGCCTTGGGTGGTGGGATGAATACAAAGTTCAGAATCAGAATCAAGGTCAAGTCTTGGCTTTGCGTTACTGGCTGTGACCTTGGGTTGGTGCCTTTCCATCCATTTCCTCGACTCTACAATGGGGACAACCTGTAGCATGCTACCTGTAGCACAGGCCTATTGAGGGGCAGACGGAGATAACATAGGAGCCAACTCACACAGAACAGGCGTGGGCGAACCCCCGACAAACGGGGCAATGAGAACGCCCACCGTGGTGTTCACACGCTCGAGTTCGAGCCCAGTGGAAGAAAGCTTTTGGTCGCAGGGCCTTTTCATGGGAGAAAGGGAAAGTTGGGGCGACCGTCTGAATTGTGCATTGTTTCTCTGTGCCTTCGCCTCGGACTTCAGCTGGGGCCTGCAGGTCACATCTGGGGACAGAGGCCTTACAGGGCCACTCAAGGCCAAATAAAGTGCAACACAGGACTTCGCAAACTATGCACTTTGAAACATGCTTATTTTCCAGTAAAAATAGTCACTCGTGTCTGTTTCACGTTCAATGAACAGGGAAATCTCATTTGCAGGGACCGTGCCCAAGCTCAGCCCATTGGCTCGTCTGACGTTCCACACCCTGACGGGCTGTGCAGATGCAGTGATTGCTCCCGTCACTCAGAAAGGAAAACAGGGAGAGACTAGGCCTCCATGCGGTAGGAACTGGTTCGTTCTAACCTTAAAAAGGCCCCCCAAAATTCCCAAGTTAGCGAGGTATCTCCGTTATCATGATTAATTTTAACTATATTGCATTGCAGTGTTCGGTTCACACCCACTGTCCTGTTTAACTCTGACAACGCATTCTGTAGAGCAGGTATTATCAGCCCCAGCGTGCAGGTGAGAGGACCGAGGACCAGCCAGGTAACGTGACCGGCATGAGACCGCTTGGCTGAGCACACGTTGAAGACTGGGGGCGGAGCCTGAGCACACGCATTCTCTGTTGCAGAAAGAGTGTCTGCTCACTGGAGAAGGTCCGTGCAGCTTCGAAGCACCGCGAAGTGCGGCCTTGAGCAGCGCAGATGTCGCTAGGTCAGCCGCTGATTGATGGTGGAGGGTGCCGTGTGTCTCTGGGGATCTGTGTGTGAGAAATGTCTCCCAACTCTGCTCTCAAAGGCTTAAGAGCCCTGGTCCTACTGCAGAAAAATGCCCTCAGCCTGACTGTGTGTCTGCTGGCCAAACGCCTAAAAGAAACATCTGTGAACAAAGCCTCTCAAACTGGGCAGGGGACCCGGCTCAACCACCCGCTCGGGATGTGTGCAGGCTGACTCTGCTCCAGGCTCCCTTTGCCATCTCTGCTGGGACAGACTTTGGCTCACGGAAGACTCGGCGATACAAGTGCACGTGTGAATGAGTTAAGGGTGCCTACCAGGATGCGTGTGAATCGGGGCCCCCACCCCCGGGCCAAGGACCGGCACCAGCTGACGTGGCCTGTCAGGACCTGGGCCGCACAGCACAAGGTGAGCGGCTGGCAAGTGAGCAAGCGAATCTTCTCTGGCATCACCGCCTGGGCTACACCTCCTGTCCCACCCCCACACGCCCCCAGCCCCTGTCAGTGGAAAAGCTGTCTTCTGGGAAATTAGTCCCTGGTGCCAAAAGGGTTGGGGGCTGCTGATGCAAATTACACAGGGTGCCTGGCCAAGCCTCCAGATGTAATAAAAATAACCTCTCAGGTGGACATACATTCCTTTGATCTCAAGAGATCCTTACTTTAAGATGAGGACACTGAGGCTGCAGAGGTTAAGTGACTTGCCCAAGGTCTTGTGGCTACTCAGGAACAGAATCCTGGTTTCTAACCTGGGTGTTCAGACTCTACATGTGACATCAAATTAAAGTGCATATCTAGGATCAGCCAGAAAGGGAGAGGAGTCACCAAGGGCAGCTTGAAGGTGGCGGTGAATAGAGAGAGTTCTACCCTTGAGCTCAGTGGTGGCAGTTCCAAGGGCTGGCAGTTCTGTTAGAGCCCCGGGTCTACTGGGCTCTATCCCCGACTCACCCACCAGCTGCCCTCGGAGACACTGCCAACCACCAGCCTCCTAAAACAGTGTCTCCCGAAGGGTGTTTGGTCAGCAGTGCTTCTCCAACTTTAGAGAGCATGCAGATCACCTGGTGAGCTTGTCAGAACTCGAATTCCATTCGGGAGTCCCGGGGAGGGCCTGAGGTCCTGCATTTCTACCCAGCGCCCAGGGATGCTGACGCAGCTGGTCCGGGGCCAGACTGAGCAGAGGCCTCAGAAATGTTATTCATTGAAAGGGTCCATGGGCAGAGTTTTTGAGAACATCTGGACTAAATGAAATCAAACCAGTTTCATCACTGCAGGACTTCTCAGAGCCTTTACGCTGTTGGCAAGCACAGTCAGTCTCCAACGGGAACAGACAATGCAAACATGTAGTGTTATAACAAGAGAAAGGCTACCGATGTAACTGGGGTGCATCGCTACACTTTGGCTTACAAAGAGGGAACAAACCATGAGTAATATTATATGTGCATTCCCCCAGCTTACTGTGGTTGCAGCGTTCCCACGTGGCAGTGCATACTCAGCCTGACTGGGCCCTCCCCTTTCCCACGTTCTCCCGTGAGGTGTGTGGGCACCGCCTGTCTCCTCCAACAGGCATGCACCTCCAGGCACCCCGCTCCTCCGCCCTCCCCTGCTTTGCACAGCTCTGTGCTCAGAAGACAAGGGCTGGGTGGAGGACACGACCCGCAGGAATACCTTTCGCACACGCGGACAGTCCAGGCAGCGATGATCCACAGCGAGATGCTGAACACCAGCAGCACGGTGCCGGGGCAGATGGTCATGAGGGTCTTCATGACGAAGCGGGTGTTGAAGTTGATCTTGTTGAGCGCCCCGATGCTGCGGGATGAGGCGTCCGTGAAGAGCTTGCTGTGCAGCAGCATGACGCGTGCGATCAGGTACAGACGCAGGAACATGGGGATGGACAGGATGATGTCCACGTCGGCCTCCGCCCGTGAGGGTGTGTAGGAGAAGGCCAGGCGAGCCGTCCAGAAGAACTTGTACTCGCCGGGGATGGGGTGGATGGCGCACACCAACATCTCCAGACTGATGTAGAGGATGCGCTCATAGGTCATTGCTATCCGCCAGTCATCCGCACCATTGTCGATCACGAAGAGCTGGTGGGAGCAGAGAGCCTGTTAGTGTGGCCAAGGTGGAGCCCACGCCGCAGGAGGCGGGACAGGGCAGCTGGCCCACCTCAGGGCCCTCTCCGGGGCCCTGCTTGTATGGTGAGCGCCCTGGAAGGGGAGCAGGGAGACCTGGCTGAGACAGTCACTCTGGGGGCTTCCATTTCTGCACATTGCTTCCCAAGGTCCCTTTCTGCTGCAAGGTGCCCTCAAACTGGCTGTTTCATGAGGGGGAGGAAGAACAGCTCACTCATATTAAAAGCAGTTTCCTGAGCTCCTACCAGGCCCTGAGCTAAGCCCTGGAGGGGAACCCGGAGATAAAAAGTCACGCTCCTTTGTGAGTGAGCTGACACGGGCTGGCACAGACTCTCCCCATTTGGAGAAGGGAACCACCGTGTTCGCTGTCAGCGCCCTGCTCTCAGAGCAGCGGGGCGCTCGTGGGGTGGGCCCTGGAGAGGAGCTGCCTGGGTCTGGATGGGATCCTAACACTAACTAGCTCTGTGAACCTCTGCGAACCTCTCTGCAACTTGGTTTGCTCCCCTGGGGACAGTGAGAACACCCGCAGCTCACGGCAGTCACAGTGAGCTGGCAGGGGGCCAGTGCGCACAGAGTGCGGAGGGCCCTGCCCAGCACCCGGTGATTTTCCGTAAGTGTTAGCTATTATTGTCTTTAGCATCATTAATGCACGGGATCTCCGACTGTTATAAAATAAGGGCTGGACCCCGTGATGTCTAATTTCCCTTCCAGCACTAACTTCCGTGAAGCTGAGACTCCTGCTGTCATGCCAGGAGGAAGGAAAAAGCTACTGAAACCAGCACCAACTGAGCACCTGCTGTATGCCTGACCCAGACTTGGGGTGTTGGGGTTCACATGCAGAGAAGGGCCCAGGCTTTGCTCTCAAGGAGGTCCCACCCGAGGACTCAGGGTTGAACCAAACAGCTCTGAGCATGAGACGCAGGGAGGGGAACCATGGGGGGCACTACGGGAGCAGCTGGCTGAGGGGCCGACCTCGGCCCGGGTGGCTCTCATTAGGAACATGTGATCTCTAAGCGATCTCTAACAGGAGAGGGCACCCAGCGCGGCGCCCAGCCCAGACTTCCCCAGTGTCCCCAAGCCCGGCCGTGTCTAGACACAGTGTCCACCATCTGTGGAAACAGGAAAGACCTAATGGCTGCTCAAGTGTTCCCTCTTCTCCTAAGAGTCACCAACAGGCCAAGCCTTGGCAACATGACTGGCTGGCCAAACTCTTCAAATACAAAATGAAAACCATCCACCCTATCCATAAGAAAGACCTGCATCAGGTTACTATAGTAACTGGGTTCACTCTGGGCAGGCACTGAAGCCACGAGTCACAGATCCCTTTGAGTCCTTGGTGGGGAACAAGATGGCACGCCAGCCCAGGTAAAGAGAGGGCACATTGTACTGCCCAACCCGACGTGGGGGGCGGGTCCGGACCAGGGCAGTACCGCCGCTGCCTCTCTGGCGCCTGGCTTCTGTTCCGGTTTCCTGGTGCAGTGTGGGTGGGGCAACCTGCAGAGCAGAACTGGAGGCCCGTGAGCCAGGCTGAAGTCTCACACATCCGTTTACTAGCTGTGTGACCTCAGGTGGGTCACACCACCTCTCTGAGCCTGTTTCCACATCTCTATGATGGGATTATTAACCTTGCCCCTGCCCCCTCATGGGATTAGTGTTAGGATCCAATATTACAGATAATGAGACAGAATGTGCTTTACTAACTACTATAATAATGTGAGGGATTATTAAGCCACGGCCCCAGGGAGCATTCATAGTGTCGAGACAGAGGGGGGTGTTGAGTGCGGGCTGGAGGTGTATGAATGGCGGGCAGCCACTTCATGCTGCGGACTGAGAGGCTCTGCTCCTTAGGGCTCTGAGGCAGGGATTTGTGGACATGCAGGGTGAGCAGCGTGGCCCAGAAAATTCCATTGCTCTTCCTCATGAGAACACCCTGTGCCTGCTCCCATCTGACCCTGGGAAGCACAGCTCTCTAAGCATATCAGATATCAGACACCCGCCCTGCTGTGTCCTCACTCAGCATCCTGCTCATTCCTTGCAGATCACAAATCTCCGTTGTGAACGTATCCGTGTTTACTCGGTTTTTGTCTGTCTTCCCCTAGGGCAGTGGTTCTCGGCCCGGCTGCATATTAGCATGGCTTGGAGACCTTGCTTGAAATACCCATGCCTGGGCCACCCAGACCAAGCAAACCTAGATGTCTGAACTCCCTCTCTGGGGCTCAGTTTCCTCCTTTGAGGAAGGAGGGCTGGAACAAACGAGTGTCTTCTGCCCTGAGGGGCCGAAATTCTGTTGTCGCATGCAGCCGCTCTGGCTTGGTGCTTCCTGCCTTGTGTGTGTTCTCAGGGCACACGAGCTCTCTGGACGCAGGACCCGTGCCTGGCTCATCTGGCCTCTCGCCAACGCCTGAGACTGTGCCTGGCCGTCAGCAGAACTATAGTGAAGAAAGTAGGTGGATGACTGTGTCATACAAAGAAAAGGGGACTGCCAGTGGTCCTTGCTAACCACTCAGAATGGAGATTCCTGTAGAAAACTCATTCCTAAGCCTGCAACTAGTGGAGTCCCTGACCATTCAGCTTGTGCTGTGGGGAAGACACCTGCCTATTCCCAAATAGCGGTCCAATCTGGAATAAATTGTCCCAGGTGATCTTCAAGCCTCAGGAAGTTCTAGAGTCAACCTAGAACCAGGACTGTGAGTAGCACTGGACCAGGGGAGTGAGGGGGGCTATGCAAGCAACTCCAAAAAGGGGCTGTCCTCCCGCACACTTGGTCTCAGCCAGCCACCCAGCCCTGGCTCTAGAGCGGCCTGGCTGTCTGCCCCGATGAATTCTGAAAGAGCACCAGGGTGATGTGGTCAGAACCTGGCATAGTCCCCTCGGGCCTGCCATGAAGCAGAAGCCTCAGAGGCTTGGGGTTGACAGACGAGTTTCCTCCTGGCCTAGCCTGGGTTTGCCCCTTGTGTACTGGCTTCCCTGGGTGGGGAGGAAAGCCACATCCTCCAAGTTGCCGAGTCTTTCTGCCTCCTAAGCTAAAACGGAGGTCTCACTCATTTGGGGCATGGCCAGCCTGAAGACGCTTCCGTGCTGAGGCCTGTGGTCTCCTGCAAGTCCCACACTCCCCCAGATAGTGCCCTGAACGGAGCTGGCTCCAGACCTAATCCTTCTGCCACTTCACTGAGAGCCTGTGGGATCTCAGCCTGTGGTATATCTATCATTCTGAGAGCTTTGAGAGCTTTGGGAAGATGTTATGTAGTAGAGCGATCCCAAACTTGCCTTCAAGGAGCTTGCACTTACAAAGGAGAACCATCTCAGTGTGATTCAACTCAACTTAATTCAATAAAAACAATGAGTAGGAACCAAATACTACTTGAAATTTGCTAAAAGAGTGCATCTTGAGTGTCCTCACACACACAAAGAGGAAATGACGTGAGGTCATGGATGTGCTCGCTAGCTGGATTGTGGTGACCATTTCACAATGTGTATGTGTATGACATGATCACATTGTACACTTTAAATATACACAATCTTATCTGTCAATTGTACCTCATTAAAAAAGAATCAACCAGGTGAGGACCCTGTGGAGATATAAATATGAATCACACTCATATCCCACAGATCAGCTCGCAATCTCATGTGGCTCTGGCAAGGGAGGCACCATTAGGCCCACTGTAAAAAGCTTCCGGGGCAGGATGGGGTTTAGCGGTGCCTGGCAGGCCTGTGTCGGACAGACCTCCTGTGGCAGCTCATCCAAATGACCACAGGCTCCTCCCATCCCATTCGTTTGCTTCTTCACATGTGACTTTGCCTCTCCCAGCAAGACGTGCAGTGTATTTCTCAACCCCTTGAATCTGAACTTGGCCGTGTGCCTACTATGGCCAATGAGACATGAGAAAATGTAATGCAGCAGAGATTTGAAAAATGTCACTGATGTGGAACTTGCTTTTGGCAGCCAGGCATACGAGTGAGGCTGTCTTCAACCAGCTGCATGACAGGGGCACCCCTGGTGAGGCCAGCAGAAGGACAGCTGCACTGAGCCCAGCCCTGGTTGCCTACACACACAACCATGAGCTAAATGATTATTGTTTTAAGCCATTAATTTGGGGGGTACTTTGTTGTGCAACAAATCTAGTAAATGATAAAACTAGCTCATGCACTTACTTAGCACATGTATTGGAAGAGGTGAGTAATTTGTCCAACGTTTCTGTTTTAGCTTGTCATGCCTCTGCCCCAGAAGGAACTCCGCCCCCACACAGCTGAGCTGTCAGGGCTGGCCAGTCTTTTCAAGTCACTGGGTAACTGGGTGGAGAGGGGTCATGATCAAGGGGCACGGCCGCTTCCCCACCCACTGGCCGCATCATTTACTATATCAGAGAACAACTCAAAGTATTCTAAAAGTCGTTTTGCCAGCCATTAATGATTTTGCATACAAAGTGTTTCTCACGTGTGAAGAAGTCAGCAGGCAAACTGAACCAAGACGTAAAGGCAAACAGAACTTCCTGGGTGTGAGGGAGAGAAAACTGCAGGGAGTCTGGGAACTGTGAGTCTGGTCAGGAAAGTTTGGTGGTAAAATGGTTTTCCTGGCAGCTAGCAAAGAGGTCCATGTGGGTATTCAACCTTTGAATCAAAGGTATCAGAGAAAACAGTTCTGTTATGTATGGATTCTTCAGAAACCATGGCATTTTAGCCGTGGCACACAGGTGCATAACAGGCGCTCACTCTCTCTCTCTCTCTCCCTCTCTCAAGTCTTCTGAGCCCTTCTGTCTGCACCGCCACCTCAGCCAGACCAGGTCTGCCTGCTTCCCTTTTAGAGTTTCTCAGTTCCCCACGGAGGTGTCAACTCTGACAGGCCATCTGGTCACCTCCAGACAAGTCGGTTCAAGTGGAATTTCTGGAGCTTCAGGGCCCGGGACAGACTCTCTCGATGGGAGACAATGACCTTAGAGCCTCCAGTGTCAGCCTGA